CCTCCTCCTCCTCCTCCTCCTCCTCCTCCTTCTCCTCCTTCTCCTCCTTCTCCTCCTTCTCCTCCTCCTCCTCCTCCGCCTCCTCCTGGGTTCCTTTTCCCGTTAGACAATGTCAGGCATGTCAGAGAGCGCAGAGCATCACTCCCAGGCCAGGCCTCAGCCGCTGTCTCTTTAACCTTGAGGGCATTTTTGGGTCTCACGTGTCAACCCAGGCGGTGGCGCGGCCGGCTCTTACTTCAGAAGAACGGCATGGGGTGGGGGGGCTTAGGTGGCCTCTGCCTCACCTACAACTGCCAAAAGTGGTCATGGGGTTATTTTTAACCCCGGGGAAGAGGTATTTATTGTTCCACAGCAGAGGCGGGCCAGGAGGCTCCACGAATTCTCCAGAGGCAGCAGCCAGCTCCAGACACAATGGTGAGTGGCCAGTGGACCCTTGAGGGAAGATGCAGGGTGAGCAACCAAGAGGCAGCCCCCCCCAGTCAAGGACCCCATTGGAACGGGAAGGAGGCTCTCACAAGACCCCCAACCCTGGATGGACGAGCACCTTGCACCAGCCATGCATGGGGACTCCACTCAGTGTCCCCAAGGAGCCACAAAGAGCAGGCTACCCGGGGGACTTGCAGAAATCGAATACAAGAGAGGGAGTTTTGGGGTTTGGTTTGGGTTTGGGTTTTGTTTTTGTTTTTGTTTTCCATTCAGGCAGCCAGGAAAAGAGTTTTCTGGTTCTATCTTTTGAACTTGCCCATGTTAAAAGGTTCGCCCCTGTAGGGTTGGATAGGGGTCAGCCTCTCAGAACAGGTGGTCCCCCCAACTGTTCACTAGTCAGAGACAGCTGGTGGCTGGGGGCACAGACTGTGTGAGTTTCTGTGGCTGTGTGACCTGGCCTGAGTGACTTACCCTCTCTGGGCCTCCAGGTCCTGTCTCCTTGGTGGACCAGAGGAGAGCGTTAGATAATGTTCGAATGCTTTGAGGTTCGTTTTCTCTCTCCTGCTGTCCGGGCCAAGGAGACCCACTCACCAGGTGACTGGGCCTGGCCCGGGGCTCAGCGGTGTCTAATGGGTGCTTCCTCCCCAGGCACCGAAGAAAGCCAAGAAGAAGATAGAGGGCGGAAGTTCCAATGTGTTCTCCATGTTTGAGCAGACCCAGATCCAGGAGTTCAAGGAGGTGGGTGTGGCCGGCCCCCCTCCCCAGATTGAAGGACACCGAACCCGGGAAACGACCTGCGTGCTCACATGCCCAGGCTCATCCAGACATGAACCCCTAGACAAAGACTTGGTCTTAGTAACTTCTGTGGATTGTCGGGGGGGAGGGGGAGCGTACCCCCTCCCTGACATGCAGGGAATTTTCCAGAAAAGCACAGAACAGAGTAGGTGCTGGGCATCCCCCGGCCTGCCCTGGCGATCCCTGCTCAGGGCAGATTCCCACCCACACTTCGGTCATCTGTGTCCTAAGATCCTCAGTCGCTCCTGTGCTTTGGGGGCGGGGGACAGGGAGGGAAGGTGAGTGACGGA